TTGGGAGCAGTACTGAACCAAGTCGGAGCAGATGGTGGCGAGCAACCCGGGGCTTATCTAAGCCGGAAACTTTTGCCCAGGGAAGTAGATACACTGCCATTGAAAAGGAGTGCCTGGCGGTGGTGTGGGCCCTCAAAAAGCTGCAACCTTACTTGTATGGACAACCGTTTACCTTACTCACAGATCACAACAAATTTGGGGCACTGCGCGTGCAATCTAATGTGCCACCAGATAGGAGTGGTGTGTTAAGTAGTACTATTCTTATCAGTTTAATCCCTGTTACGTCCCCTATCAGGGGACGTGTATATGGCATCGATTTTAGGAACCGGGAGATGGAAAAAGATGCTTGGTCGGTCCTCCTTCAAATTTGGGGCACTGCGCGTGCAATCTAATGTGCCACCAGATAGGAGTGGCACTGTGAACTGGCAGAGTATCCACTGTGAGCCTGACACACCCGCTTTGAGACAACTAACTGCTATTCAATCTACAACAGTGAAAAAAGTTTTTGGGTTTTTAAATGCACGCTATTTTGACACCAGATAAGAGTGGCACTGTGAACTGGCAGAGTACACGCTGTAGGGCTGACACACCCGCTTTGAGACAACTAACTGCTATTCAATCTATAACAGTGAAAAAAGTTTTTTGTTTTTAAATGCAAGCTATTGTGACACCAGTGAGTGAATGGTGGCACTGGGCACAGTATCCACTGTGAGCCTGACACACCTGCTTTGAGACAACTAACTGCTATTCAATCTATAACAGTGAAAAAAGTTTTTGGTTTTTAAATGCACGCTATTGTGACACCAGTGAGTGAGTGGTGGCACTGGGCACAGTATCCACTGTGAGCCTGACACACCCCCTTTGAGACAAGTAACTGCTATTCAATCTATAACAGTGAAAAAAGTTTTTGGTTTTTAAGTGCAAGCTATTGTGACACCAGTGAGTGAGTGGTGGCACTGGGCACAGTATCCACTGTGAGCCTGACACAGAAGCTGGCAGACAACTAACTGCTATTCAATCTATTATAGTGAAAAATGTTTTATTTTTTTTAAATGCAAGCTATTGTGACACCAGTGAGTGAGTGGTGGCACTGGGCACAGTATCCACTGTGAGCCTGACACAGAAGCTGGCAGGCAGGCAACTGCAATTACATTACACAGAAAAAAAAAAAAGCAGACTGATGTTCTAGCCCTAAAAAGGGCTTTTTGGGGGTGCTGTCCTTACAGCAGAGATCAGATGAGTCCTTCAGGACTGTAGTGGACACTGTATACCCTAACCCAGCTATGCATTTCCCTATCTAATCAACAGCAGCTACACTTTCCCTCCTCTCACTAAGCATGCATCTTGAGAATGAATGTAAAATGGATGCCTTCCAGTAGGTGGGAGGGTCTGCTGCTAATTGGCTAGAATGTGTCTGCGGACTGTGAGGTACAGGGTCAAAGTTTACTCAATGATGACGAATAGGGGGCGGATCGAACCGCGCATATGTTCGCCCGCCGTGGCAAACGCGAACACGCTATGTTCACCGGGAACTATTCGCCAGCGAACCGTTCGGTGCATCACTATCTGAGAGGTGGATAGATTATCTCGGCAAAGGAGAAGTGCTCACTAACACAGATTTGTGAACAATATAAGAAATAGGCCTTTTGTGTACATGTAAAAAGTCTTAGATCTTTGAGTTCAGCTCATGAAAAATGGGGGCAAAAACAAAAAAGTGTTGCATTTATAATTTTGTTCAGTGTACGTATTCTCTCTCACACTCTCCTGGGGGAAAAAGTACACATGCTTTAAACTCTTTTACATATCAGGACATAACAATCAGATGTGCTGTGGCAGGTTTTAAAATTATGTAAATGCAACCTAAGATGAACAACACATGCCATATTACAACAAGTCATGATTTATTTAACAAAAATAAAACCAAAATGAAGAAGCCATGTGTGAAAAACAAACTATAACTTTATTGCTTCCATAGGAATTAAGGGGCTAAGTAGCAGACATGTGCTGCTTATCAAATGCCTGTGATTAATTGATCAAGAGCAAGTGTGATCACATCTATAAAAGCCAATGTTTTAGCAGTTTGCTGGCATGGAGAATTCAAGTGTGTGTCAATACAATACCAAGGAGGAAAGACATCAGCAATGATGTTAGAGAAGCAATTGTTGCTGTCCATCAAACTGGGAAGGGTTATAAGGCCATTTCCAAACAATTAAGAGTCCATCACTCTACAGTGAAAAAGATTATTCAAAAGTAGAAAACATTCAAGACAGATGCCAATCATCCCAGGAGTGAACATCCCAGCAAATTTGCCTCAATGCCAGGCCGTGCAATGCTCTCAAAGATTACATCTCAAACTCTACAGGTCTCAATCAACATGTTACATTTTAAAGTTCATGACAGTACAATTAGAAAAAGACTGAACAAGTATGTTGCCATTGTATGTTCTTTTTAGAGAAAATAGACTTTCTCCTGGGAACCCTTCCAAACAAACCAAAGTGTTGCAATGGCCCACTCACAGCCCAGACCTTAACCTTATTGAAATGCTATGGTGGGACCTTAAGAGAGCTGTGCACAAACAAATGCCAGCAAACATCAATGTACTGAAGCAATATTGTAAAGAAGAGTGGGACAAAATTCCTCCACTACGATGGCATTTGTGTACATAGGACCCCACAGACGTTCTGTTAGGTTGTATATAAAAAGACTGCTCCAATCGGAAGTAATTCAATTTCAAAGTGAAGTGTAACAAAAAATAAATTCATGGGGTATCTTACCTCTTCAGAATTGTCTTGCATGACATGTCACTTAGCTTCTATATCTTCCTCAAGGGATATTAAAGTGTAGGGGCTGCTGGCATCCACTGCAACCAATCTAGCTCACCCTGAGGGTATAGGGAAAAAAATATGAAAGATGACATCGGGAGTGTGCCTTACACATGTTGACAGGGCAAGGGCAGGTTTCTTAGATGTAATCAAGGCATTGTCCGATTGGTTCCAATAGACCGCCCTTGGCAGAGACGATCTGGCATCCTGCTGGTAGAGTAGCATGTTTATGGATTTTAGGAATAGTGTAGAACTGTAGATGATAGGAAACCTAGGATATTCATGATTAAAAAAAAAAAAAATCATATATACATGATTTATATGATATCAATTTTACAGCGTTGTCCATATAAAAGTTGACAAAACAAAAAGAAAAGATGTAGATAAATATAATTAAATGTAGCTTTTATTCAATCTATATAAAAAATATCAAGGAAAAGGCTTCCAAATACATATATATACATATATATATATATAAAAAATTAGTCACATCAACAAGCATATAGGATGGAAAAATATATATTTAACTTTTCTAAATAGGAAGACAAGTTTGAGTATTAACTCTTAAGCAAATAGTTTCGCTAGTGCCCTCCAGTGCTCAAAAAAGGGGAGATCACTATACCACATAAACATATATTAATTACTTGTACTGTATTCCCCTAACAGATCCCTAGGGGTCTGTGTTCGATAAGTCAGTGGTTCCACATTTTTTAGGTTCAAGGCGCCCTTAATATTTCAATATTTTTCCAAGGCACCCCAAGTAAAAAAAATTTCTAGGTTGTCTATATGTACAGCGCTGCGGCATATACTGGGCCCCTAATCTTGGGAGTGGCACTGGTAGATTATTTAAAGAAACAATCCAGGCACAATAACCACTACATTAATTTGTAGTGGTCATGATGCCAGTAGTGCCATAGTGCCCTCCCAGAGTAAGTACTCAAACTGTTTAAGACCAGTTTGACAACTTATCTGGGGTCTGCTGGGATAGGGGCTGTAGTGTGTGTAAGTGATGCGGTGTGTACTGAGGTTTGTAAAGGATGTAGTTTGTGTGTCTGTGCCGTGTGTGTATGTGGGGCAATTTGTGCATGAGGGATACAGTGTGTGTGTGTGAGGAGCAGGTTGTGTAAGGGGTGCAATCTGTGTGTGTGTATGGTGGGCCAGTGTGTATGGAGGGGCAATGTGTGTATGGGGGAAGAGTTTGTATATGGTGGGGCAGTGTGTGTGTATGAGGGAGCTGTTTTGTGGTGTTGGGTCTGTAAGGGTAGGAGGGCAAATTAATAAATATATACTTTATATATATATTTTTTCCATTAAAAAATAAAAATGATGTCCCCCCCCCCACTGCTTACCTTTGCCTGGGAGAAGGGACATTTCCTGCAGTCCTTGGTGGTCCCAGTGGTGAGTGTGAATTCTAGCAGCCTCAGGAGCTGTTGGAGTTCACTCTCACGAGATTTGGAGCGTTGCCGTGGTAACTGTGGCAATGCTGCGAGACTGCGAGAGGAAAACCTGGCGGAGCTGAAGCTTAGAGCTCCCCCGGTCCGCTCTCCCTCCCTCCCCTGTTGGCGGTCAGCAAAGAGCTAGTGGGCCGGAGCGGGAGATCCAAAATACCAAAGGATTAGATACTATGTGAAACACAGTGCTGCAATGGTTTTTCACTACTGTAGCTCTAAAGTAAAAGGCAAAAATAAATGTGTTCCCTTCCTCTCCTTCTGTAATTTTTATCTTTAAAGGGACACTATAGTCACCAAAAGTTTCCGGTATAGATAGTACCTCTGACGTTTCACTGCTCAATTCACCACCATTTAGGAATAAACAACTAGTTTTTGTTTGAGCAGCCCTAGCCACGGAGGCGGAGTCTGACTCACCAAGAAGATGGCCGCATAATTGTGCAGGTCTGCCGCGGTCCCGCCAAAACGCCAGCTACCAAGAGCTAATCCCTCACCCCATCTGCCGCTTACCACACTTCCAACCCGGTAAAAATCCACAGCACCCGCCGGCCGCAGTTAACGATAGATGGAGAGCGCAAGACAAAACAGACTTGCCGTGGCGCCGCTATTCCGCGCATGACCTGACAAGGCCAAAACACCTACCCGCAACAAAAAACCCTCTGACAGCAAATCGGACGACAACTGCTCAGTAACTGCAGGCTGCATGGATGCTCCTGTCACCAGGAGGGACATGAGCGGCTTTCTGCAGGAATTCAAAGCACATGTGGCAGAGGAACTTCCAAAAAATCTCCAACCTCTACATGAAGGCCTCACAGACCTTGCCATGCGGACGCATGAGGTGGAGGCTAAAATTGAGGACACAGCATCAGCAGTGCACTCACACGACCTGGCTATCCAAGAACTCAGAGAACAAATTAAATGTTTAGAGGAGGCACAGGAGGACCTGAGTAACCGGTCTCGTCGAAACAATATCCTGATTAGAGGAATACCGGAGACCATCTCCATGGAACTCCTGCAACCAACCCTCACAGAAGCCTTCCAGAGCCTACTACCAGAGTCCTTAAAAGCCGAACCTCTGATGGATCGCGCACATCGGGCATTACGCTCCCCAGCAGCCAACACTCAACCACAAGATGTCATAGTGCGGATGCACGATTTCTAAATAAAGGAAAGATTGATGACAGCGGCCAGAGATACCCAGTTCCTAATAGAAGGAGCCCCGGTGCAACTATATCAAGATCTAGCGGCAAACACGCTGCGCAAAAGGAGAGCTGCGCCCGCTCACTCAGATGCTGACACAACACAGCTTGAGATATGCCTGTGGGCACCCATTTAAATTTCACATCCTTACCAAACTCTCCGACGTACCAAATTTCCTGACGAAGCTCAGTCTCCCTCCGATAACCATTCCACTTCCACAGAGACCCCTGCGACAACCTCCACCTGCCCACCCATGGAATCCCTCGACTGTTCACCCCTCAAAACGCCAGGATCCGCAAGCACCACCTGAGACTCCATCCACGTTGGCAGCAAACTGATTCCACAGATTCACCTAACACGGCAACCTGACTACCCCACACCCCCACCAGCAACCAGATGCTCTACCTGGAACCCAGTTTACAACACCAGCAGCACTTGAACTCTCACCAACTTGTTCTTCACCCTAGCTCTTGTAATTTTTGTTTAGCTTCTCTCTTGGCCTCTCCACCTATCTCGCAAGTACTCTTTAGAGGACACAACCCTTAGCCCAGCCGGACACGACTGGCACCCACAGCTGACTCCAGATTACGCAGACGGCTCAAACTCTCCACTGCGACCACGCTAAGTATTTCTCTATGCCACACCTTTAGGAGACACATGGAGGACATGTTGGGGGGGGGGGAGACATAACCCTAGCAGAGGCTTATTACCTTACCTAAGCTTATGGTTAGACCAACGTACTGTAGGATATTGCAAAGGTTATCGAATCACTGAAAGGGAAGCCGGGAAAATCTCTAGCGAATTAAGATACACTAAGCCTGGGACCCTTCACCCCAGACTCTCTCCCAGACAGCGACAACCCCACTCTTCTCCCATAGTACAATATCAGAGAGGAGATACGAACGGAGGAACACACGGGGGACGGGGGAGGGAGGAGCAGCAAAAACGAAAAAAAAAAAAAGGGGGGGTGGGGGGAGGGAACCACACAAACAAACAAAGGGAGGTGGGGTGGGGGGGGGACTGTGAAAGAAGGAGCGGGTGGGAGAAATAACGAAAACGGGGAAGGGGGAGGGAGGGAACAGGGAGTAGCTTGAGTGAGAGACAGGAAGGTACCATCCACGAGACATAACCAAGAATCCGATTTTACCACCCTGCTGGTGAACAGTTTAATTTCCCTATAGTTAAAGTTTTACATGTATTTGCTGTTACTATATTGTAGACTGATAATGCTATATACACCCTGTTCCAAATTATTATGCAAATTCTATTTAAGTGTCACAAAGATTAAATATTTTGGTTTTCAGTTTAACTCATAGATGGCATTGTGTCTCAGGGCTCATTTGATCACTGAAAACAATCTCTGACAACTGTGAATTAGATTGCCAGGTGAGCCCAATTAAGGAAAAACTACTAAAGGAGGGTGTTCCACATTATTAAGAAGAGCACCATTTTCATGCAATATGGGGAAGAAAAAGGATCTCTCTGCTGCCGAAAAGAGTGAAATAGTTCAATGCCTTGGACGAGGTATGAAAACATTAGATATTTCACGAAAACTTAAGCGTGATCATCGCACTATTAAGAGATTTGTGGCTGATTCAGAGCACAGACGGGTTTGTGCAGATAAAGGCACATTAAGGAAGATTTCTGCCAGATCCATGCATCGTATCAAGAGAGCAGCTGCTAAAATACCATTACATAGCAGCAAACAGATATTTGAAGCTGCTGGTGCCTCTGGAGTCCCACGGACATCAAGTTGTAGAGTCCTCCAGAGTCCTGCAACTGTGCATAAACCTTCTATTCGACCACCACTAACCAATGCTCACAAGCAGAAATGGCTGCATTGGGCAGAAAAATACATAAAGACTAACTTTAAAACAGTCCTGGTCACTGATAAGTGCTGGAATCATGGGAAGAGAGCTGGTCGGCCCCTTTAGGGTCCCCAAAGGTGTAAAGATGACCTCTGCAAAGTATATGGAGTTTCTGACTGACCACTTTCTTCCCTGGTACAGAAGGAAGAACTATGCTTTCCATAATAAAATCATCTTCATGCATGACAATGCACCATCTCACGATGCAAAGAATACCTCTGCATCAATGGCTGCTATGGGGATAAAAGGAAAGAAAGTCATGGTGTGGCCTCCATCCTCCCCTGACCTCAATCTTATTGAGAACCTTTGGAGCATCCTCAAGCAAAAGATCTATGAGGGTGGGAGGCAGTTTACATCCAAACACTAGCTCTGCGAGGCTATTCTGACATCTTGCAAACAAATTTAAGCAGAAACTTTCCTTAACTCACAAGTTCAATGGATGCAAGACTTGTGAAGCTGCTATCAAATAAGGGGTCCTATGTTAAAATGCAACATGACCTGTTAAAATGTTTGAAAAGTTAAAATGTTGTTATAAGTTTGATTGAAATAGCTTTTGATTTCAGTAAATAGGCTGCAAACAACAAATGCCAATTTTCAGTTTTTTACAACCTATCAAGTGTTTTGAAACTTACTGTGCGTAATAATTTGGAACAGTGCATTGTAAGTTTTTTATGTTAAAAAAAAAATACTGTTATCGTTAGGAAGTTTCTTCAATAAAATTTGAATTGTACTCTTACTAGTTGATAACATGAGAATTATGCTGACTGTTATTTACATCAATTATTTAGGTAAATGAGAAAAATACAATTTGCATAATAATTTGGAACAGGGTGTATATTATTTTTTCATACAGGCGCAATGCTGAATTGTAATCATTGCGCTCATACGTGCCCTACGAGCACCACAGATCATACATTCATTCCCCCACCACCTCAGCATCGCACCTTCCCACTTGGTGGCTCTACCCTGCATGCCAACACCCGCAACACGCTGGTGATTTCCTCACCCATACCCACACTAATCAAAAGCTCACTTGAGGGATACTTCTCAATCGTTGGCCGGACATGGCTGCCCGCAAACGACTCACACTTTCCTTATATTCTCTCTTATTACCACTATAAACTCCCAACCTCACGGGGAATACAGTGTACTCCCCCCTGGGGTTGCCCGCCCAACTACAACTGGCACTCTGGATAAGCTCAGTTCTCTGTCTGTCTACTTCTTTAGCTACCTCATCCTTTACCTCTACCTCGTTGTTGGGGAGCGACCCGTTGCCCTATCCACCCTCTTCCCCTCCCCTCCATACCGGCCATGCCGCTCAAGCGAACGTGCGTTTCCATAAACGCCAAAGGCAGGGCCAGCCAACAGGCAGATATACTGTTTCTCCAAGAAACCCACTTCACGCATGCACTAGTTAATCGGCACTTCAAGCAATACTTTTTAGCTAACTCACCAGACTCTCGAAAGGAGTTGCCATTCCCCTCCGATCTAACTGCCCGCTAACCGAAATATTGGCAACAGCAGACCCGGGAGGTCGCTTCATCACTCTGACTGGCAGCATAGGTACATATAAGCTTGCGCTATGTTCCCTATATGCCCCTATGACACCAGACTAGACTTTTTGGGACACTTTCCAAACCCATATCAAAACACTCCAACACACACACCTGATCATAGGGGGAGATTGCAAGGCCACAATGACACCATCAGTGGACAGACAATTATGTAGCGGAGACACCACCCAGCCCACCCAAAACGACCTAATATTCTCCCGATTTATTGACTCCTCCCAACTGCTAGATATTTGCAGAGCTCAACACCCTTCTACCAGGGATTACACCTACTTCTCCCACGCACATCACTCTTACTCTAGGATCGATAGATTCTTAATCACCCCTAAAACACAACCACGCAGACATTTCCCAAGTGTCCATAGGACACATATCCTGGTCGGACCACGCAGACGTCTCCATGACATTGTATAAACCAAAACAAAGAAGATTCGGGATATGGCTGTGTAAATCTACAGAGAAAACATAAAACAAAACATAGTGTGATATTGTTATGAAACAATATTTCATGCGCAGTAATCTTGTGCACTCACAGGATGTAGATAGTAAAAGTGCTCTTAGGGTGCCTTCCCCAATAAAATGGGGGGCTAGCTGGTATTCCTTATCACCTCTGGATCCTTGTTCCACCAAAAGACATCCACAGGTAGGGTTCAGTAATAAAAAGATTTATTTAGATAAAAAGTGTAGTCACCATTTCAGCATAGGATATAGATAACAAAAAAATTGTCCTACGCGTTTCGTTCTATAAGAACTTCCTCAGGGACCACAATTAAAAACAATAACAATGTATCAATGTACAATACATGAACATATCCTATACAAATCCCCCCTCCCTGTGTCCTTAAATAGGGCTAATCCCTAAAGTCTATTGGTGGATCCAGTAGGTGTGTAAACCCTCCTTAATTCTGATTGGAGGAAAGATCTTCCTGTGGCAGCTGTTTTTTGTTCATCCATTTTCCATAATTTAAAATTCGCGCCTTTTTCGGCAAATACCGGAAGTGGTCATAATTTGCCGAAACCGGAAGTGACGTCGCGGGAATGTCTGCGTTCCACCAGTAGCGTCTCCATGGCAACCAGACGCGATCAAGTCATTCAGAGGTCAAATGAAACCAGGACAAATAAAAAGCCCCATTCTGCTAGAGAGAAAACTGTTAAACATGTATAATATATTCAACCATTATTTATATATCTGTTGGATATCACCCTCCTCATTAATCCTATCACACAAAATAGTGTTAATCTCCATATTATACCCAGTGATCATAATACCTCAATATATTATAAGCCAAAGGCTTCATATTATAAAGTGATCATATTTCTTATGTATATTATTTGAGGTTTTTTTTTTTTTATATATAACTTTATACATTGTTAATAAAAATGGACACCATAATCAATTCATCACCATCTCAGTTAATCTTCAATTTATCGTATTATTATTTGTGCTCCCCATAGAAATCTTTGGAACAACCTATTAAACACATTAAGGTAGTCCATTATTATGATTACAAAAAGGAATAGTG